GTGCTTTATTCCCTAAATGGAATTTTATTCATTTTTTCTGAAGACTATTTCTCAAGTTTTATATTTATTGTTAATATACATTTGTTAATGTTTTAATACTTATTATTAATCTCTCCTCCCTTCCCAAACCAGCAAAATACTCCGAGCATTTGAGCCTCGGGTTTTTATTCCCTTAGGACTAAAAGGGTCTAAAACTAGTTGCCAAGAACCGCTCGACATATGCTATTAAGGGATGTTTTTTTGTATTTTATTATTTTTTCTTTATTATTTTCTTTTGCCACTGGCGAATGGATGTTCCTTCAGGACTCCAGGACCCTTTGGCTGGTGACAACGCTGCCCTAATCCCTTAATAGTATATTAACAACAATAGCTAAAGACCTATCAGTAGTTACAAATGGTCTTTAGGCTAACTGGTTGTTACATTTGGTGACAAGCGGTGTTTTTTGATAGTATTTGACTGGTTGGAAGGAAAAGGGGAAATTTGTTATTAAGGATAAGGAGATATATCAATTTTTTTACAGACATTTTTTTTTCAAATTTTGTAATTTTTTTGGAAAGGATAAGTGCCTCTTAATAAATATAGTCACATCCTTGAGTGGATACAGAAATAAAGTAATAAATTCAAATTTCATTTTATTAAATAAATTAGCGTACCTGAATTGATAAAAAACAAAGATAAATAAATAGATGATAATTTAATATAATGTTTTAACTAAGTAATTGTTTAAACAAAACATTGACATTGAAAATAATTGTAATAATAAACATTAGGGTCAAGTCAAAAATAGTATACAATTTTATTTATAATATAATATTTCTTTGTGTACAAAAAGTCAGCTTTTCAATCTAGTTTAGATGATAAAGAATTTAAAGGTAAATATTGTCACTGTTTACATAAAAAATCGACATTGAACTATAATGAACTATAAATATATTACATTTTCGCAAAGTATTTATTTCAAAGTGCAGTGCTATCAGTTGTCGTAGGTCAGTAATATAGGTAAAGTTAGTTCAGCAACGTACAGCGTTAATGAAAAATTGGCATTTTTAAATAACTGTTTTTTTTTCAGAAGTATGTTTTAAGGTTTAAATTTTGTGAATTAAAAATAATAATATAGATATACAGTGTTTTAGATTAAAGATGTTTACTAGGCCATCCGCAATAGAGTTTAAGGAGAAAAAGAACGTGTTCTATATGCACGAGAAAGAAAGAGAAGGCGTACAAGTGCGAGATGTGCGAATGAGCACATCTGAAGATGATTTAAAGAGGTTTGGACTGCCCAAAAGAGGCAGAGCAAAAATTAATATATTAAGTGATTATGTAGTAATGTGTGATTTTGTGTTTTAGAGAAATGCGGTCCGTACCAGTTGAAAGACAGGAAGAAAAAGAAGAAAGTTTGGGGACATTCGATCGAGGTACAATTCCGATCAACCCCCAAGCAGTGTCCACGACAGGACAAAACTAGAGGAGAGGTTGTCACGTCACGGTGTGAAGGGATAAGCTCTAAGGACCTTTTCCCCAGACTGTGATGGTGACAAATTTAGGTAAATAGATTGGAGGGAGTTTGGGGTCACATGGATCGACATAGTTTCCGACCAGCCCTAAACAACGCCCTTTGATGTCAGAACAAGATGTCCACGAGGGAAAAATAGGATTCAGACCGCTCTATCAGGGAGCAACGCCGACTTTAGGTGCCATTCCACTCTACCAAGAAGCAACGCCGCTTTGCCAGGAAGCAACGCCGCTTTTCCAGGAAGCAACGCCGATTTGCCAGGAAGCAACGCCGCTTTGCCAGGGAGCAACGCCGCTTTGCAAGGCAGCAACGCCGATTTTATAGGAGAATGCCGCTCTACCAGGGAGCAACGCCAAGTAATTAGGAGAACGCCGCTCTACCAGGGAGCAATAACGATTTTTTAGGAGCCATATCGCTCTACCAAGAAACAACGCCGCTCTACCAGAGAGCTACGCCGCTATGCCAGGCGCCACGACTCGCCACCAGATGAGAAAATTGCGATAGAAACAGAAAAGTTTCAAAGTATGGAGATGCAGAATTTCAAGCGAAATCGAAAGAAGAGTAAGAAGAAAAGAAAATATAATATCAACAGGTAGTAAAAATATATATGAAGTAAATAGGTAAAGTAGGGTATTAATCATATATTTAGAAGTTTAAATTCAACAGATTAGAAGTAGTAAATATTACAATATAGGAAATTTCAAAAGAAGTAGTATAGAATTAATGACATAAAAATTATTTTAAAAGGGTAATTTATTGGATAAGAATTATTTAAAAAGGGTATTTTATTGGGTTTTATTAGACGTAGATAATTATTTAATCTACGCTTATGTGCATTTAACAAAAGTATGTTTTATTTTTAGAGATATATGTTGTTTATTTTTGACGGCCAGGAAATAAATAATAATATTGTTTCTGTAATAAAACACACTAGCTTTGATTATTAATTCGTTAGAAAACAAAAATGGTGAGAAGTACTAATTATAAGATCTTAGTAAATTATTAAAATGCATGATTCCACAAGAATTTTGGAAATTTGATGACATAAAATAAAAAGTGCATAAATTGGTTATTCTCGGATTAAACAATCCACACATAATTATTCTAGTTACAATTTATGGAATTTAATACTCATAGTAAATTACAATTTAAAAATAAATAAAGAATATTTTTTCTAGTTCATTAATAATAAATTATTTCGAGATAATAAAAACATATTTGTTTTCGTAACTATAAATGTGCTTTTAATTTGGGTAATTAAGGAAATTATTATAAATTTTTTTTGTAAACTTGAAATGTAAATAATAATTTTGTCATAGGGGTAATCAAAAGACATTGCCACTGCACAAGAAGAAGAAAAAGAAAAACGAAGAAGGAAAAGAAGAAAGAAGAAGAGGTCAACACCGTACTACCTTTGCCAGAGTCACCATCAGCACCATTTCCAGGACGACCACGAAGTCCAAATCGTGATAGTTATCCAAATCCAGGACCGTACCAAGGGACCCCAGAGTTCCACGATTCCACGATCAACAGCATAGAATGGGCCGAATTCCAGGACTCCAGAATCCAAGGCTACAAAGAGACTGCTACATCTAAATCCAAAATCAAGCGGCCAACCAGTACCACCAAGCTCTCAGAGGGCATGAGTTATACCGCCAAGGGAGCTGGACATGATGTCGGGTCCATTTTGAGTCTGTGGGAACCAAATCTACAGCAGGAAGAAGATGGAGTAAAATGCAAACAAAGGGACCAAAGAATTCATATGGAATGGACTAAGGTTCAATGAAAGAGGCCATTCCCAGTAATGAGTCAATACGGACCCACCAGTAGCAGCCGTGTACAGCAGCCATGTACAGTAGCAGTCTCAGAGTAACAAACAAGAGAAGCAGTCCAGAACAAATAGTCAACTAGAGACTGCAAAAATTGATAGACTACCGCAGCAGAAAGAACCCGTAACCTCAGCCAAAAGGGTTACCAAGTTTAGCAGCCCAAGGACCAAACCAGATCGGGAAGGGACCATTCCAGGAAGGTCAAGGATCAGGGGATGATGAGAGGTGACAGCCAGAGAGCAAAGGGTAGTTACGGCCAGCCAATTAAGAAGACCAAAGAAGATACAACTTGTGCAGTGAAGCAAGCGTGAGGTTATCATATTATTGTAGATTGTTTTAAAAATTTTTGTAAATTATTTACATTAAGGGTTTTAAAAAGAATTGAACAAGTAGTTCATTTTTTTTTCTGTCGGGGGAATAATGTAATAATTGGCATTATTATTAATTGAAAAAAATCTAAAGAATTTACCAAAAATTCTAAACAAGTATTTAATGTTTAAATTAAATAATTAAAAAGACACAATGAAACAAACCTTCAATTTATTAATCTACAGTGAACGTGACATTGTTAAATACAAGCAACAGTCACATAAATTTTGGTTTATATAGAAAGGATCACTTGGGAAAACGCGCAGTCGGGTTTGTATTGTAAAGTAAAGTGTAGGGTATAGTTTTTGTGTACGATGTGACTTATGGGTAAATATTTTAACTTAATTTTACAGTAATTTTGTTTAATATATTAATTGATTAATTGATTTACATATAAATGCCAATTTTACATTTTCGTCCCGAATTATATTTATCTTATGCCTATCTTTATTACTATTAGTTATAGTGCTTTATTCCCTAAATGGAATTTTATTCATTTTTTCTTAAGACTATTTGTCAAGTTTTATATTTATTGTTAATATACATTTGTTAATGTTTTAATACTTATTATTAATCTCTTCTCCCTTCCCAAACCAGCAAAATAGTCCGAGCATTTGAGAAGCCTCGGCGTTTCTATTCCCTTAGGACTAATAGGGTCTAAAACTATTTGCCAAGAACCGCTCGACATATGCTATTAAGGGATGTTTTTTTTGTATTTTATTATTTTTTCTTTATTATTTTCTTTTGCCACTGGCGAATGGATGTTCCTTCAGGACTCCAGGACCCTTTGGCTGGTGACAACGCTGCCCTAATCCCTTAATAGTATATTAACAACAATAGCTAAAGACCTATCAGTAGTTACAAATGGTCTTTAGGCTAACTGGTTGTTACATACGTGCAACTTTACTAAGAGGTGAAAAAATGGGCCCTTAATGATGCGAATCAATTATCTAAATTATTTGTTATTGTGACATTACACGGTATAAATGGTAAACATAAATACGAACCCTTTCAAATCGAACGCTATTGAGAATGGAGTACCTACCCCTCTCCCCTCACGTCTAACGTGATGGCTTTGCTTATACATAACAAAATACATTGAATGATATCTTTAGTCTTATATATGCTCTAAGATTAAAACCAATACAATTATGAAATATTTGTCACAATCGAAGAACAAAATGTTCTCAGATTTTTTTATGACGTTGAAAATAATTTGGTGCTGGTTTCTTTTGATATATTATTTAATTTCTTAAATCAATTTGTAACAGTGACGCAAAATACTTACATCTGGGTCAAATGATGAACCGACTTTGTTAGCTCTTTGACAGGTACCTCCACGTATCAGATGATCAAACATATCATCTCGTTCAAGTACTGCAGGATTATTTAAGTGATCGGTTAATTGTAAATCGCCCATACTATCACGCTTTTCATTAGCCATTCTAAAAGTAAAACCAGAAACCATCATACTGACTGACTGACAAGTAGACTAAATCATTTATTTTAACTAATGTGGCAATCCTTTATAAGGAAAGAAAACTAGTTTAGAAAATTGTATGTTATGGAGCACTTTGGAAAAACTAAAATTATAAAAAATTAGTGGTTCATGAAATTGACAAGTACACTGGTTTTTAAAAATTTATAAGTCACTGCAAGGCGCTATGGTCACTTGTAATGAAAAAACTTCTGTTAAAAAGATGAAAGTGTTCGAGGGCTTTGACAATAGCTAAAAGCTCTTTTCTTGTAATGCAATAATTCTTCTCAGATTTTCCTAAGGTCTTACTAAAAAATGCAATTACTTTATCTTCCCCCTTCTGTTCTTGAGATAGCACGGCGCCTAAGCCATGTTGCAGTCTAAAATGAATTGCCCTTTTTGCTCAAATTACATTGTGAGTTTAGTTATAATTAACCCTTATTAACATTTCATCTAAGAATCTCGCTAAACTGTTGTGTTTAGGGATAGGCAATATTAAACTCAAACGAATGTATGTATACTTTTTAGTAGTGATATGAAATACAGGGTGTTACGTTTAAAAAAATTGAGAAAATCATGTATCTGAGTTTTGACTCACCCTGTACACGTCTGTTGCGCTAGGAAAAAAATTGGTATATTCTTATAAAAGTAGACTATCATTAAAAATGATTCATCAAAAAACTTTGATGTTCGATTATTTCTTTTGTAATATACAGAGGGTTGAACCTAGTAAGATTTTCATATAAACTTCCCAAGCAGCACACATTAGTATCACTAACGTATTTTATACGTAATACTCGTTTAATTTTGATATTGGTTGATTACGTATACGTTTACAGTTTACGATTATTATACATGCCGTATTTTAAAAGATATAATATACGTTTTTTGTATAATTTTTCTACGTTTAAATGCAGTTAACAATATACGACTATTTTTAGTTTGCGATGAACTATTTATATACAGTGGGCCTAAATATACGTTTAGGTTTATTTAAATTAAATTCGTATACATTTACATAATATTACAATGTGTTCTTCGTTTATAACTCCCGCTTTAATTTCGTCTTGGTTGATTTTTTAAACGTTTATCATCTACCATTTTTGTACTTAACGTTATTTAACAGATAAATTAAACGCTTTTGTTTGTGGATACTAGTTAATATACCTATATTATTCTATGTTTAAATATAAGTCCCCTTAAACGCATATTACTAGTTTACGATGAACTAGTAGACAGAAGTAAATAATATGTATATATTTAGGTTTATTTAAATTAAAAGCTTATAGATATATTTATTTACATTACACCATATTTTTTTTAATTATATTACCTGTAATATTTATAACGAATTCCCCATTGTACCGATTTTAAACACCCGAACATTTTAATAACCCGCCAATAACCATGGTGGGGTGGACTAGTCCATGTCGTTTCAGTGAGTGAGATTGGGGTGTGCTTTAAGCTAAGTCGGGCTGGTCCAAAGTCCAAAGTGCACGTAGTGCAGAGAATCGAGAGGGAAGTAGGTATTAGCAGACGATCGGGAATCAGCTGACTGATGGTATCTGGTGGCCTGTGAAGCGCTCGCTATCAATCAGACAATTCACGCTATTATAAGTTATATTTCTGTTAACTAGTTGCTAACCACGATAATGGTTTTTTGTGTAATAAAAAGTTATTGTAAAATTGTTGGTGTTGTTGTTGTTGTTGTTGTGCACAGTTGCATTGCATGTTGCTTTGACGTCCTGGCTTTTACGATATTGGTTAAAAGCATAGGTAAGTTTCTATTAATGTTTTAATTTAGCTACTCGTTTAATAATTGTTGCATTTTACAACAACTACTGTTTTATTACAGTGTGTAAAATGCTTATAGAAACTCCAAAACATAACCTTACTTTTGTTTCTCGTATTTCTATATGTATTTTTTAGACTACCTAGTTATTCCAAGCATACTTATTTTCCTTTTTTTTGGTCAGTTGTTTTTTATTTAATAAAATGTCTAAAATAACCCTGTCTCGGCGTCATCTACTAAGAAAAATAGCACAAAATGTTCAAGATGCTTTAAAGTCAAATATTTTTTTTTTATTCCCAATGAAGATAACATTAAAAAGGCTTCGGACATTAATATATCATCTGATTCTATTATTTATAATAATTTCCTAGAAAATAATACAAATTTAACTTTGGAGCTTTTAGAAAATATTTCACCTGAAATGCAGTTACATTTTGGTTATAGGAATGGGGGTGAACCAAGAGACTGAACCGACCAAACGATTAGAAGTGCTATGCAAGATTGGCTTAAGTTAGCTAAGGCCTGTCTAGGACACAACACATCCAAAGTGTTAAGCTAAGATTTTAATTTTCATATATATTTTTTGTTAGTTAAAGAAAAGTTTCGTTTAGTTTGTTATTCAGTATTTTAGTATTTATTTTTTAGTACTTATTTATTTTTTAGCATTTTACTGTTTATTTTTTTTTTTTAATAAAATATTGTTCTGTACGTATAACAAGTGATCAAAAAAATTTCCTAAATATTTAGGCCAATTACAACCAAAATAGAAACACGAGTAATACCTATTTCTAGCGTATACACACCTGCTATGGATGAAATCCAAACTGTCATTTAAGAAATATTAACATTTTTCCATGGCCTGTTTTAGAAATTTTGTTTTGATCACTTTATTTAATTTGTGTTTGAAATACATTTAAAACAATATCAGGTAGACGAATTCTACACATTAATAAAATAAGATAAATCTAATATAGACGTATAGTTAAACAGGATAATAAAAGGTAGATAAAGTAGTAATATTAGACGTACAAAAAATAAAAAAAATACGTTTATAGGGCGGACATTTTCATGTATACACCGTTCTCACGTAAGGCGGGCATTACAACTTTATGGAGAATAAATTAATTTGTATTTTCGCCATTTTCTGAGTGTACATAATCGAATATGCTCTTTTGAATTAAAATAAAATGAACTCTGTGCAACTTCCGGTTATACCGGAAGTGACCACTAACTTCGTTATTTTAAAGGGAATACCCCATATTTTTTTTTTAATTTAGATTCAGCATGAAATTCTGTAAACAACGATACCCCATTTGCCTATTCTAGTTATAGCGGATTTGGCGTTATTCAATTTTTTTCTACATTTTTAGTCGCCGGTAGACATTTTCTTAAAGTCGTCTATCTCAGGTACTATATCTATCAGATACTTAAAATTTTAGCCAGAAGTAGTAGATGGGATGTACTTTTAAAAACATTTACAGTTTTCTGCAACAAAATATGTCGTTTAAAAAGTTTAAATTTTTTTAATGATAAGGTACATACTAACTAAAAACAATTTTTATTAAAAGCACATGGTTTAAAAAAATCATTTTATCAAATGTTCAAAATGCCGCCCGTTAGCTTCTAAACATTTTAACAATCTTTTTTCAACATGATTAGTTGTTGCTTTACGAATCATTTCACCATCTAACTCGTTAAAGGCATTCCGAACTCTTTGCTCTAATTCTTCTTTAGTATTAATTTGGGTAGAGTACACTAAATTTTTAATATGAACCCATAAAAAAATCAACAGGAGTTAGATCTGGCGATCTTGCAGGCCAAAGCCAAAGACCATTTGGACCTATCCATCGGTCATCAAAGAGTGCTGTAATTTCTTGATTTACATAATATGTTGAATGTGCTGGGGCACCATCCAACTGGTACCAAAAATTATTATTTGGTAGCTGGTTTAAAATGTCGGCAACTACTTCTCTAAGAATTCTAATGTATCTTTCTGAGGTCAGTCTTTCATTATAAATGTAATAAAAAGCTCTTCCAAAACCGATCACTGCAAACACATTAAAACTAAATTCGTACTGAAATTGTGCTTCACGATAAAAATGTGGATTTTCGTTTGCCCAGAAATGACATTGCTTGCGATTGATGATCCCTTTACGTGTAAATTTCGACTCGTCTGACCACAAAATTTTGTTTAAAATCTCGGGATCTTCTTGAATTCGTATCAATAACCATTCGCATAATTCAGTTCGTCTTATTTGATCACCATCTCGCAACTCATGAACTTTTCTTTGTGCATAGGGATGCCATTTATTTAGTGCTAAAATTCGTTGTATTGACCCTCGACTAATATTTAAATTATCTTGAGCCCATTCTAATGGAGGCGTGAGGATACGCAGTAAAATACCCTAATACGTTAATTAGATTAACTTCTTTATCTCGGACATAATGTTGACGGTTTCTTCCCGGCTTTTGTTTAAAATTATTCAAAAAGTTAGCTTCGATTCTATCAAATTTCTGTCTGTTCATTGGTGGTAAATGAGGGTATCGTTCATTAAACATGCGGCAGGTTCTACTTTTGATTCGATTACATTCTCCATGAATGTAAAATAAATTAAGAATATCTTGGTTGGTATATTCTTCAATATTTTCCATATTTACCATATTTTGAACGCAAAAAATACACAAGTTAAATACATAGAAATATGACAATTCAGTTTGTTGACAGATTGTTGTTTAGCATATTTCCTCGGCATATTAAGATAAAAAATTAAAATGTAAAACTATACTATATTATGTAGGTGCATGCGTAAAATTTAAATTTAAATTTTCTTAAAATTGGCGAGATAATTATAGGGAATTAATAGTGCAAATGAAGATCAATGAAGAATAATTTTCCGAACAAAATGAAATAAAAATATACAGGATTTTCCATTTAAAATAAAAAAAATTTTCATGTTTAAAATATTTATTTTTTAAAATAAATTCCAAACACTCAGTCGAACAAACGATGTACAAGTAAATTTAAAAAAGCAAATGTCTGCCGGCATATAAACGTTTATAAAAAACTGAATAACGCCAAATACACTATAATTAGAATAGGGGAATGGGGTATCATTGTTTACAGAATTTCATGCTGAATCTAAAATTTAAAAAATATATAGGGTGTTCAATTTAAAATAAAAAAGTTTTTTATGTTTAAAAAATTTCATTTTTAAAAATAATAAATAACTAAATGAATAACTAAATATTCTCAAGAAGTACATCCCATCTACTACCTCTGGTTAAAATTTTAAGTATCTGATAGATATAGTACCTGAGATAGACGACTTTAAGAAAATGTCTACCGGCGACTAAAAATGTAGAAAAAAATTGAATAACGCCAAATCCGCTATAACTAGAATAGGCAAATGGGGTATCGTTGTTTACAGAATTTCATGCTAAATCTAAAATTAAAAAAAAAATGGGGTATTCCCTTTATATAACGAAGTTAGTGGTCACTTCCGGTATAACCGGAAGTTGCACAGAGTTCATTTTATTTTAATTCAAAAGAGCATATTCGATTATGTATACTCAGAAAATGGCGAAAATACAAATTAATTTATTCTCCATAAAGTTGTAATGCCCGCCTAACGTGGGACACGGTGTATATTGGGTAACATATCAACGGTATCCATACATATATTGTAGTACATAAAAAAATGTCTTTTATACCAAAGTGGATTCGTATAAATATACTACAACTATAAATCTAATATAGACGTATAGTAAAAACGTTTAATTATAGGTGGATAAATTCTTAGTAATCGACGTTTATATGGCGGACATTTTCATGAATATATTTGGTAGTACATCAACCGTATTCATACGTATGGTAGTAATTTATACCAAAGTGTGCTGCCTGGGATGGTTTAAACTTCCAAAATACCCAGTATGACCTCATCTATGTTGGTATTTTCTTGAAAGACAAAGTCAGGAGAATTTAAATTTACAATTAAATACAGGGTGGTCCATTTAAAAAAACAGAGGTTTGATAAATTCTGAAGTTATGGATCACTCTGTATAATCGAAAATAATTTAGAAATGTGCAAAATAATATTATCTACAACTTTTGTAAATAACATTGTTTGATATTTTCCATAATATTGGATATATCGAACACTATTGGGACACCCTGTAGTTTTAACCTTGACTTGGTCAAGTAAAAATGATCTAACTCAGCATGCATAGATAGATTAACTGTTGTCAATTTCGAAGAGTCACTTATAACTTTTAGCTAGAAAGGCAAGACATTAAAGCAAATTTCTATACACCAGTTAAAAAATGTCACCTATATTTGGGGTACATAATATTTTAAGATTCTACAACTCGCTACAGATTACAATGGGCCAATTCTGTTACTACCTGACTCAGGTAGTATAAAATTGCTTCGGATAACCTAAAGACCTCTTTGGAAAACTGAGGTCAATAATATGCCTAAAATTATTTTCTTGTCATTTGGAGATTGGCTTGTTAAAATTCATCTTACTGATATTTATTTTTAAAGGTATCTGTATATATGTATAACACTTGGAGACCCGTTGTGCAGTCTACATAATTAATAGATCCCTCTGAGCTCGTCAACTACCCTATAGATTTGATGTATTTTATCGGCCGGTGTTAGTCAAAACTCGCTGAACACTAATTTTCTAATAAACGAGTTAGGTAGTTGTAGAGAATATACTCTATGGGATCTTATTCGCACCTCTATTGGTATACGGATCCTGATAGTACCATACTATAAAGATGCATTCATACTTTACAATGACCAGTCAGAATGCCTTTAATCAGGTGCAGATTATGTCCTGTCATACTCAAGTATTTTTTGTTGTGTTGTTGTTAGAGTAACTTAAAAACTCCCTAGGAACTCTGAAGCATGTTTTCAGTCCAATGGAATTACCTTGTTCAAAAATTATTTGTTAAGTTGCTTTCTTGGTTTTCGATGCGGTGTGATCTTTGATCTATTTTAAAATGATCACAATGTTGAAAGATATTTCGGCCAAAGCTTCGTATCATTCTAGTAAATTCTTGGTCTATCCAGAGTATTGCTTTTATTAGCACGTTATTTCCAGTGTATTGTTTTTGGTAATTTCTTTCACTACTAAAATAATCCTCGTGAGCTGACAGCTGATTTTAGGTATAGATTAAAGGGTCTGAAGTATATTGCACATCGTGAGTCTTATTATATTTTAGAATCTTTGTTGAGATATGAATCTTACCTACTACTTCCAATTCTTCTGTTTGTCTGGTGATAAGTTTATTAGGCTTATGGAAGATGTGAAATTATGATATGGAGTCCATGCCCTTCTAAAGCTGTAGAAGCATATCAAATGCCTCCTGCCAGAAACAACGTCTTGACTCATCAGATTCTATATGCGGAGTCATGCCATTTTCATCAGAGCAACCCTTTTAAAATAGATATTGTGGGGAGTAAGACTAAGAATGACTTCCGTGGGTCTGTTTGAATAATTATGTCCTTTATGAATAGAACCACGTACGTGAAGGAGAAAAGAAAGTATAGGTAGATGGTATATAATTTTCACTTACTTCAAGCTTGCAACAAGAATAGCATGCACTACTCTGTAACCTGCAGTAGAAAACTCGTTTAATGGATTAATTTCGCAATGAGGATCGTATGTAGATCGTCCTTCGGATAACTTGTATGGATAAAGAAGGTTTCTCTTCTCCATGGCTTTGTATCCGATAAGGGCAGGAAACATTTCGCTGAAAGCAAGATGCTGATATACGGCAATGTTAAGTTTTCTGCATTCTTGGTAAATCCTTTCATCGTTCCAATGTGGATTTATTGATACCATACGATCGCAACACCACTCGTGAAATCTAACCCACGTAATGTGACTGATGGTAAGATCTAAATTCTGGTTGGCTCTAAAATCACCTAAAAAAAAATAGGACAAGAACTATAATTTCTCTGTTTGGATAACCTAATGTAATAATCCTAAATACATACATACATTTTTTATAAATAAAGAAAACAGATTCGAGCTTTTTTTTGCGACTCAATGTGATTATTAAAAGTTCATGTGGAATCAAATGTTATACCTAAAACGGTATTAATTTTATTTTTACCATTTTTAAAAACCTGTTGAAATTGAACGAGCAATAAAACCTGTTATGTCTTTATGTACTAGTAGTACAGCCTTATATACTTATAGTTGGATCTAAATGGGTACAGCTAATAGATGGCGACACCGTATTTAAATACCTAGTCGAAAATCAATTATATTAAACTGAGTCAAGGTCGTTGGTTCAAACCTCACTATCGTCTGGCCTACTATAGCTTTTTTCAGAGGTTTTCTTATAGCAATAGACAAATGATGGGTTAGCAACATCTTTTCAGATACCTACCGCCATTTTTTTCACCCCGTTTCATAAGGCCTGTTCCCTGATCCCTCCAGTGTGCCTCAAGGGGTTAGTAAAGACTATAGCAGCCGATTCCAGCAGGGAGAATGCAATAAACATCTACTACCTTTTGTTTTGAACTTAATATTTGTTTAATTTGATTTTTTATAGCATAGATCACCATTTAAAATCTGTATATGGGACACTGTTTCAATAGATGTCAGGCGCGATTGCCTCTATATAACTATGTTGCTATAATTCTTTATGCAATAGTTATATTAGTATATGTCCTAGTTTTACATTTGTTTCATACCTGTTTTATAACAAATGTTCGGAGTATTAGGAGGAGTGGCACATCCTGATCCAAGTGGTAAATATCTTCCGTTCCTAGTTATCAAGCGGCCCTCACTAAACGTACGTAATTCGTTAGCTTCGCTTTCAGTGCTGCCGTACACAATATTTAGATCAAGAGCAGCTGTTACACCTGAAATCTAAAACGAGAAAATATTAAATATTAAACAATTAATTTTTGCAATACTATAATAAAATATGAGCGCGTATTGCATTATGTAGAGATCAAAGCTGGGAAATGAACTACGCGGAGGTTACGTAACAGGAAGGCCCCAGGTTCAGATGGTATAACAAACATTCTAATAAAAAACAGTAGTAGAAAAACAGTAGTTCAATTACGCTATATTATAAATGCAATTCTAAAAATACAATATTAATCTACTAATTTTAAAAATGCTCACGTAATAGCCATAAAAAAAGCCAACAAACCAGCAAAATTTATAGGTAGCTACCACCCCACTACCTTATTGAAATGTCTAGCTAACGAAAATAAAACACAATGCTGAAAGACTTAAAAGAACTATTCCAAAGATTCATTATGCTTTTTGACCAGGACATAGTCTCACAAATTGTACGGGTAGCACATCGCTTTAAACAGCAACAAACAGTGCTAGTCATACAAACATTTTTTTATTCCTTAAAATATTTATGATTTAGGAAAAATTCTAAATATAAAATTAATTAGTATTTTACAGCTTGACGTTTGCATTTTATTATAACGCAAAAAAATAATACTTACTTGATCTGCATACGGTTTAGGGTTTGTTGCAGTACAATTCAAGTTAATGGTTGTTGTAGTTTTAGTTATGGGCATACAAGTAACATTGTGTTGAGAGTAATAAGGGTCATTATCTGGAACATCTATGTTGAAACAACTCTCAGGTGTGGTTGGCAATGCACGCATATCAGACGTGCAACAAGGATCAGCGGAACCTAAAATTAAAAGATAATTTAGAGCCTGAAATATGTAAATAAAAATGCTGTTCGTGACATAGCATACAATGTAAAAAATCCCAAAAAGGATCTCGACATCATCCAGGTTTTGAACCTCATGAAATATCACCTAAATAATATACTCCATACTTTCATTTCACCTACTCTTACACTATAAAAATTATTTTCAATATCTGTACAACTAACCAAGCAACTATTCCTTTATATTATTTCTTTTTTCATTCTTTCAGATATCCTTTTGCTCCTTCTGATCTTCAAAATACAACTTGGGTTCCAGTCTGTCTTTCCTCGTCTGGGGTTCGCATTGCGTCACTGCATCCCGCCACCGTTAGGATGTTGTACTCTTTCCTTTTCATTTAATTCATAGATTTTACCTTCTACATCGACCTAGATCTCAATGGGCCCAGTTAGCTAAACCAGACCGTAAATTATAGCACACTTCTGAACTGCGATCGCTGTTTTGAGTATCTTTCACAGTCAGCCAGCGACTCTGTTCTAGATGATTGGAAGCAATACACAAAAAAAACTATTTTAAAACAAGACCACAGAGCATCTATCTCAAAATATGTATTTTTCACTAACTCTGATATAACTTTTCTACAATCGTTAAACACATATTCTCCGCATATATAGCAAAAATAATCTGGATTGTTCAAACAACGTCTCCTTGAACTACTCGTGACACAAAAACTTCAGATACTAATCAACCCATTTGACCCTAAAACTATTTTTTTCCGATTTTGTAAAATGTTTTTCTTAAAAACTGTTAATAGAAGGTCCCATAAGTCGAGAAAAAATCTTGGACGCAATTTTATCAAGGGAAGTATTATCATTGCAATGAAGATTACTCATTATGAATTGAAATCTATCTCTGGAAATAGCGGCTGATATAAGTTTATTCTGGGTATCGTTGCAATTTTGCTAATACATATGTCGCCTTGGAACAGTTGTATATCCATTGACAAGTAACACCCCTATGAAGCAATACATCTCGTCTACAGTAACGTTACCGGGGCAGTTTTTTTGTTGTGCATAAATGTTGGTAAAATTGACAATTTCTCCTACCAAGTTTTCATCAAAAAACAGCTTGAAAATATTTCCAGAGGAACGATTGCTTTGTGCAGTTTGAACTGGTTGCCATTGTATAAACGTAGAATCTAAATCTTCATTGAGAATATAGTCAAACGTCTTTATGTGTTTAGGTAGCCTTTCAACAAAAGTGGACGGTGGTAGATCCTCATCACTGTCCCCGTCGTCATCACCTTCCACGTCAAATTCGATTTCCGCCGGGACCCTTAGTTGCACTCCGGGTAAATTATTTGGATTTACATCGTCTTTAGCCCCAGAATCCAGAAACGCATATAATCCTACCGTCCTTTTAAAAGGACTCGTTAAATTGAACGCTCCTGGAATGATCCAGAAGTGTGAAACATAACCACAAATATATTATGTTATTTGTTAAAATAATCAAAACAGCAACGAAAAAATAAACGAGGTTTAACATATGTTACCTTGAGTCACTCATTGCAAAGTCACTAACAACACAGTGTTCTTTAACCGTCACTATCGATCCAAAACTTAACAAAACCCTAACGATGGTGATTGATCTTGTTTAAGATGTCAACTAAATATAACGTGACACTGCCGACATCTTCAAACCGTCAGCTGAATCAGAAAAATATAGGTTTCTTTTTGAAGTCCTTTTAAAAAGGACGGTAGGCGTAAATGGGTAAACACAGTAAACTACGCCTGTTATCGATTAATATATACCCTTAAATGATAATAATCAAAAACAAAGTAACTCGAGCTGCTCAAAAATTTTTGAGGTTAGATTTGACAAAAACGAGTAAACATTATCAACCACAGAATTCGCGGCAACAGACAAAAAGTTAAATTTTGTAAACTAGTGAATTATGTGAGATTTCTCTTGATCTTGGCAGAATTCGAATATTCAGATAGAGAAAAAAAATGCCTTATAACATCTTCCAATGACAATAAGCAAGACAAAATTCAAAACAGGACTTCTTCTGAAAATGAAGTTAATACGTATGCTATATTATAGACCTAGATAAATGAAATTAAATAAATATAAAATATTTTAAAATGCAAAATAAATAAAGAAACTTACGTAATAGAGTAACACTGTGATCGTGGGCTATAAATTGGTGAATTCCACTAACTAAACGAACTACATTAGCACGTTCAGTAGGGATATGCCTAGATGTTTGTTCACTGATGAAGCGTGCGTTTGGAAGAGGTTTTCCACTTTTCGCCACCGGTGGTTTTGATATACCTGGAAACAAGTTTTTTGTTTTTAAAAACTAAATAATGTAATAAAGAACTTTTAACAAAACCGACATATGTTCAAAAGGACCCCGCACTTTTTACATTGATTTTGGGTACTGGCAGAATTTGTTCAAATTTTAATATATTATTTTTCCGGTCATTAAGGGTAACTTTCTTATGGACCTCAAGTAGGCAGCTCTACAGGGTGAGCCGTTAAAAGGATTCGAAAGTAAGGAATGTAGAATTAATATTTTCTAATATATCTTCACCACTCTTTAGTAATTCTTATTTTTTCCATGGAACTTATGTGATATGATATACTTGTATATAGTTTATTCGTGCTTACTTACGCAAAATAAATTATACAGCGTGTTCAAAAAATTAGGAATATCAGTTACTAAAATATAGTGCATTTTACATCTATAGTTAGAATATGACTTCTGACCATTTTTTTTTATTTCATTTCATATTAGATAATTTTAATAAGTAATACAGGGTTTGATAGAACTACACAAACGCATTTTACGAAAAATTGGTATGCCTTAAATATTGTAGAAAGTCTTGAAACGAATTCAGTTATGCTCGTATTATAATCATAGCTCTGTTTTTCTAACAAAGTCCCGTTCTACGCCTACTTAAATGTAGAAATAATTCCACTAACTTTGGCTTGAATAAATGACTAAGAAGACATATTCTAATTGAAAAACCCTTTCTAATTTTTATATACAACACTTCTAAATATAATTTTTGAGCATTTAGTAGGTTAATTTTAGTTAAACTAATTCATAAAAAACTTTTACAGTTTTTTCAGTAGTAATTTATTTAAAAACTTCGTAATATGAATACTCATTATATTTAATCCTGGCCAATTCTTGTTAGTTATCTATTCCACACCACTATATACTTTTATCTTGCTTTAAATTATTTTTTAAGCCTAGTTATTATGACATAACTTTTTTATTTCCTTTTTTATTAATCAGAATAATTACAAAAGGATTATATAAAATAAAATATTGGCGACTGTTAGATGGAATAACAGCTAAATTATCATGATAGGGTTAAAAGTTTTTGTCTTTGCAATTTTAGACCACATTTGTTGCGTTTGTTTATCCATATCGGATGCATCTGAAAAATTGTGAATCTTTTATCACGTGATTCAAGGTACCTACGTAAATTAGTTGGAGCAGATGCTTCCGATGTGGATAAACAAACAATCGATGCGGTAAAAAATCAGATTTTAATGTTGAAATACATGGTCATACATACTTGATGAAACAAAATTTGATTTTTCTCGAAAACGTTCGACTTTAGAGCTTATGACCAGGAGTACCTTTTTTGTGTAGAAAACATTGGCGGTTCAAATGGGCGTCTCAAAACCGTACTTTTTCCAGTGGCGTAGAATTTTTTTTTTAATTTCAACACCCTGTATCTCGAAAATGGTGCATTTTAGAGGGTAAATTAATAGAAATGTTTTTTTATATTTTTGGACGAGCTATCACGTCCTGAAGTCCTGCGCATGAATTATGAAACACCCTGTATTCCAGATTTCCTTTATAAACTAAATTTCAAGAGAATAACATTACTAGACATTACTGTACATGTAAGCCTGATTCAAGAACTATATGCATGTGTGCTCATATTTTTTAACTAAATTTCTAGAGCAATTCGTCCGTTCTGGACCTAACATATCAACAAAACTAAGAGTAGGTTAGGAGTAATTGTACAAAAAAGGCATATAAAAATCAGTAGTGTGTCTAGGGTTGTGCTTGAGCCGCCCCTGCAAAAACTGCCTCTTTTATTTATATTTTTGTAAAAAAGGTATTTATAATATTGGATTGGCGCCATAAAAATGGTGTGCCACCCGTCCTTATGGGTTCACCATGCCACTGATACAAATACACGTTAGTTTGGAAATGTATTTATTAAATTTAATACAGTGAAACCTGAGTAAGCCGGAACCTGTGTAACACGGAATCCTGTGTATGACGAAAATTTTGGCGATTACCTACATATTGTAATGTAAAAATTGCTTATAAGCCGGAACCCTGTCTAACGCGAACACGGAATTTCCCTAATCTGTTAAGCCGGAACCTACTTATGTTATTGCTTTGCAGGTATAAAAGAATTTATAGATGTTTACATAATTAGTTTATGATTTCGGAAAGCCCCATAATAAGGGCGAACTATTATCAATACTTAGAACCATTATCACAGAAATTTAGGTACAAAAGCAGTAAATACACAAATAAACCAGTATTGTGTAGGTACGGCAGTTTGAGTTTATCCGTGAAAGTGCAAACATTTCAAAATGGCAAACCGAAAAACGAATACATTATCGCTAAAATCTAAAATGGACTTAATTAAATGTAGTGACCAAAAAAAACTTACTCCAAAGCAATTGGTTATTCAATTTAAGTGTATGAAATTTTGAAAAACAAGGAAAAAATTAAAGAAGAGTGGATGCGTGGTGGTAATGGCGATATTAAGAGAAAGCCAAAGGAATCACATCACGACGACGTAAATTCAACAGTTTTGGAATGGTTTATGGATGCAAGGTCTCGCAATCTTCCTGTATCTGGAACAATTATTCAAGAAAAAGCAAGAGAAATTGCAAACCATTTTGGAAAAGTAGATTTTAAAGCTTCGAATGGATGGCTGGAAAGTTTTCGAACACGACATAACATAAGATTTAATCAGATCTGCGGTGAAGCTAAGGACGTCGACATGGAATCTGTGACTGAATGGACATCGCACATTACAGATTTAATTAAAGGATATACCCTAAAAGACATTGCTAAGTGTGACGAAACTGGCCTTTTTTATAGAGCGCTGCCGGACAAGACAATGTGCTTTAAAGGTGAAAAATGTCAAGGAGGCAAACAATCTAAAGAAAGGTTAACCGATTTGTTTTGCGCCTTTGCTGACGGAAAAATAGAAAAACCTCTAGTTATTGGAAAATCCCTCAGACCGCGATGTTTTAACAATACTAATGTGCCTCAGCTACCAGTTTATTGGCGAGCAAATAAAAAAGCATGAATGACATTAGTTCTTATGGAACAGTGGCTAAAAATTTTAAATCAAAAAATGAAATTTGAAAATCGACACATCCTTCTATTTTTGGATAATGCAACGTGTCACCCCAAAATAATACTATCCAATATAAAATTGTGTTTTCTACCAACAAACACCACAAGTCAAACACAGCCTCTCGATCATGGAGTTATACAAAACTTCAAAATGCATTACAGAAAACAAGTGCTGCGGTCAATTATTGCGAATATGAGATTCTCTCAGCAGGAGATTTGGCTAAAAAAATATCAGTTTTGGATGCTATCAGATGGATTGATTATTCAGTAAAAAATATTAAACCTGATTGTGTTAAAAAATGTTTTGCGGCATGTGGAATCAAGCAAGATGGAGACGTTGACCTAATCGAAAATGTTGACGAAATTGACGAAAGTACAAAAGAAGTCGAAGAGTTAATTACTGAAATTAATCCCGGTTGTAATGTTCATGATTACATCACATTAGATGAAGCCGTTACAACAAATGCTGGATTTCAGTCCATAGAAGAACTGGTGTTAGAAAAAACTGCCGTGGAAACTACTGTGGCAGACGATAATGATGGGATTGGAATTGGTAAGCGATTTTTCTAATTCTCTAAAAAAATAAACAACTTTTTATTTATTCTTTCCATCTTAATTGGGCATTTGGCCAAGTAGAAATAAAGTTAAAATACATAATAAAAATAAGATAGGAAGATTTCAGTTACCATCACAAAAATAACAGATATAAAAAATTATTTTCCCATTAGCTTTTCAAAACGATCTGTTCTTAAATTATTATTTTTATTTACAGGAACAGAAGTTGAAGAATCCGATCGGATAAAAAATTTTTCTGAAGCTTTGAGGAGTGTTGCAGCGTTAGAGGATTTTTCCCAAAGAATAGAGAGCCAACCGATGAGAAAGAAGATTTTAGAATTAAGGACATTCATGGAATCATCTTACGTATTACAAAAGAATAAAAAACAACTTACATTGATAGAAATGTGGAATAAATAATAATTTATATTGTTTCTAATAATAAATAAAAATATGTAGGTACATAGTAATAATAACAACTATATATTAAATGTACGTATATTAATATATTTTTTTTAATAAAATCATCACTTTTTTAAATCTACTATGTGCAATTTTTTATCTACCCTGTGTAACGCGGAATTCTGTATATGCCGGAAAATCGGTGCACGACCGTGCGATTCCGTTTTACACAGGTTTCACTGTAATAAATAAAAAAATATTTTGTTAATTAAACAATTAACAATTAAAAATAAACATTTGGTAATAATTATTATACACATTTTATAAACTATTTAATTTAGTAAATATTCAACATGTCCTCCTCCTTGAATACAAAAATATAAATAAAAGAGGTAGTTTTGCAGGGGCGGTTCTAGCAAAACCCTAGGGACACCACTGATTTTTGTATGCGTGTTTTGTACAATAACTTCTGATCTACTCTTAGTTTTGTTGATATGTTAGGTCCAGGGCGGATTAAATTCAGTTAAAAAATTGTAAATAGCTCGTTAAATAAAAAAGATACAAAGTTCATTTTGCTATAAAAAAATTAAAAATTCATAGTATTTTTTTGATTTTAGGATCGATAAAGCAAGTTTCTTTATGTCAAAAAAAATACGGGGGGGTTAAAAGGTACCCAACCCCCCCAACTTTTTTTTAAAGGGGTTGCTTTAAATTTTTTTTCTCCTTAGAATATTGGGTCTTTAAATCTACAACACTGGCAAAAATTTCGAAGAAAAAATCGCAACAGCAAACTTTTTACTAAAAAAAAAACATTTTTCTGAATGTTAATTTAACACCCTGTAACTTTGTTGGGAGCCAGTTTTTGATATAGGTAAATATAGCCAAATCCACTTATTTTTTGGTAATTTATCTGAGGATGAATTTACGACATACCTTTTTGAAACACCCACATATATCAGTACCCAATATGTATTTGCAGTTAACTTTTACGTGCACTGATAGCAATATCTACCATGCTTTCCGCCATATTGGTTATTCAAAAAAAATTTTTGATAAAATTGCACCACTCTTTAGAATATTTACCATTTTAAAAAATATTTTTAGTCAAAAATAGTTCTGCTCGTTAAAGTGTTAATGACTTATATAGGAATTTAACAACAATAATAGTTTATGATATATAAAAGCTAGATAAAAGAGTAGTGATCATTGATCATGACCATGATGATGATCAGATGTAAGAGAAATACAAACAGTATTTAATATAATATTTTATATAATAATATATTACCACAAAAGTCATGGGCATTTTTTAAAATTTTATTTAGTATTATGTAAAAAAAAAAAAAATAAATTACCATCAGAATAATTGGGCTTTTCAATAAACCTAGCATACGGCTGATTTGCAGTCCCCATTCCAGGATTTTCTAAATTATTGCAAGACCCATCCAAGGGGCGATATTTTATCTTCTCTGGTGGACAGGAATCTGGATGTGTTCCACACACGACAGCTTCATGGTACTTAACAGTTGTTATTAGAAGCAAATACACCGAAAAATTGATTGCCAATAATGTCATGTTGGTATAATAAATTTCACTTTTGGTTTGTTTTAGTTTGTTTTGATTTCAGAGTTTTATATATAACTCAAATATAATTTAATATTAATTATGTAATTGATAACTTATATAATATTTTTAATTACGTACATATTTACGAATATAGGGTGATTCCATATTTTTTTAGGCGAATTGTTTAGATAATATATCTATCCATTGAAAATTACAAATATCTTTAATAATTACTATAATGACCTTGGTGAAAAATACGCAAATAAAATCAAAGTTCCTCAAAATTATAGGAAAGATATAAACAGGGTGAAAAGTACTATATATCTTGTAGATACCAATGAGAATGAAGTAAAACAAATTATTAAAGATTTAAAATCAAATAAATCTCTAGGTTGGGATAGTATTAGGGCAGAAACAATAAAAGAACTAAATGAAGACATTGGTCGACCACTTACTTATCTCATTAATCAAAGTTTTCGGGAACAGAAATATCCAAACTGTTTATAAAAAGGTATAATAAAACCTCTTTTTAAGAATGGTGACAAAAACAAAATAGAAAATTATAGACCTGTCTCTTTACTCTCTGTGTTTTCCAAAATTTATGAAAAAATTATTAAATTAAGACTACTAAAGTTCCTTAATAGGCATGAAGTATTATCACCACATCAATATGGTTTTAGGAAGAGAAAATCCACAGAAGATCAGTGGCGGCTGGTGGTAATATAAAATGGGTCACTTTTTCCAATAATTTTATCCTATGTAAGTTCGGATCAAAACTTTGTACAAGTCAATATTTAGTAATTTCCTTAAACGCTATTACAATAAAAGCCACATTTGCATGTCCAGTAGTTCTTTGCTTTTTTTTTGATCAAAGTGATTATTAGGCCATCGAAGATATTGACCTACTCATTCCACCACAGTACATTTATGTCAATCTCTCAAGTAAAATGGCTGGAAATAGCGGTCAATCCTCGTCAGACTTAACAATTGCAGAGTTAACTGCACTCATAGAAAACATAGTGAATAAAGCAAATATCATTCAAACGGATATAATAAAAAAAGATATTCTTACAAAAATCGATAATATTGAAAAAAGTGTAGAAGATAACACAAAAAAAATAACTGCTCTTCAAACACAACTCCAAACATTAGAGCGAAAAGCAAAGAAAAACAACATAGTTATATTTGGTTTGATCGTGAAAAACAAGCCAGATCTGTTACTTGAAGTACTGGACAAATTAAACAATCTTCTGGGGACTCAAATTGGGTGTCAAGACATAAATAATATATCTTTATTAAGTACGAAAGATAATAACAGCAGTCATATTGTCCTGGAATTCGTATCATTCCTACGGAAGAAGGAAATATTTAAAAATGTTAATAAACTAAAAGGGACCGGCATATCTATTGCTAATGACGCCTCATATGAAGACCGAATTAGATACAGAACATTAGTGCGTCATCTAAAACAAGCTAAATCTCAAAAATTAACTGCCAAGATTAAAGGATTTCTTTTAGAAGTGGAAGATAAGTTATACAGCGTAGAAGATCTAATAAAATTAGAAGAAGAAGCAATATCTAGCGAAAGTGAAGGGGAAGAAGACACTAATTCCAAGCAGATAGAGACATCAGAAAAAAAAGTAGGGAATAATAACTGAAGGTGTAGTAAAATTCATTACAGTCCAAAGACTAGAAGTGCTCGATTAGCAATTAAGTAACCATTTAGTAATTACTTCATTTACCTACCTTACTTTAAATTATTCGTTTTGTACCTAATTATTAAATATTATACCCATTAATCATTTTCTTTTACCTTGGTGGAATAACTAATTTGAATTTTAGGCTAATAGATAACTGAATATAAGTAAAATTATTTTATTAAATGAGTGGTTTTTTGAAGGTAGCACATATTAATATTTGTTCGTTGTTACCAAAACTTGATAATGTAGCAGGCTTTATTTTTGAGAAAGACTTTGATATTTTCTGTGTGTCAGAGTCTTGGCTAAAGCCGACGATACCAAATAACGTGATAAGCTTGGCTGACTATAAATTAGTACGACAGGATCGAAATCTAAAGTGTAGAGGTGGAGGTGGAGGTGTATGTATTTATTTAAAAAATCATTTAAGATTCACAGTTGTCGAATCTGACAAAAAAATCGAACAACTATGGATTAAACTTAAAATAAATAAATTAGTTTTAGGTATTTGTGTTGCTTATAGACCTCCTGACTATATACTTAATGATTTTATTAAAGTTTTTGAACAAACTGTAACAAATTTAGCTGCGGAATTTGATGAAATATTATGTTTGGGCGATTTCAATGTTGACCTGCTGAAAATGCACTCAACTAAAGCTAAGAAAATAAACTCCTTGTTAATAAGTCATGATTTAATACAAATTATTGATAAACCAACTCACATAACTCCGACCTCTGAAACATTAATTGATTACTTAATAACGTCTAACCGTGACTTAATTAAATCATTTGGCGTTCTTCCCGCAGATCATATGACAAGTCATGAACTCATTTATTGCATACTTAATGTTTCTTCTAACAATTCTAAACATGTTTTTAAAATAGTAAGAAATTTTAAAAACCTTGATGAAGATTACTTTCTATGTGATTTGAATTCTATATCTTTTGACAACATTTTTAGCTTGAACAACATTGATGAGAAAATAAATCTCCTAAATAATTCAATCATTTCGCTTTTCAATAAACACGCACCCTATAAAAAGATAAGAATCACCAAAAAATATAATCCTTGGTTAACAGATAACATTAGGTATATTATGTCATTACGAGATAAAGCGAAAAAAAGATGGCAAAAAAGCAAAAAAGTGAGTCACTTAGAATACTACAAAATGTTAAAAAACTATACTACTTTAGCCTGCAAAAATGAAAAAAAAGCATATTTTGAATACAAATTAAGAGTAGGAGGTATTAATAATATGTGGAAAAATTTAAAACATCTAAACATCGGAAAAGAGTCACATACTATACCTAATACCTTATGTAACCCCACCAATTTAAATAAATATTACACTTCATGTATTCCAAACTTACCTGCAGATCGAAAAGTCCTTGATAGTTATCTTAACAATATCCCTTCGCGTGACAAAGTTTCTTTCACTCCAGTTACAAATGATAGAGTCCAAAAACTACTGTACTCAATCAAATCAAATGCTCAAGGTTCTGATGGCTTAAATATAAAAATGTTGCTTCAATGTTGTCCCTTAATAATTCCCTATGTCTCACATATAATTAATAGTTGCATTAACAAACAATACTTCCCTAGAAACTGGAAACAAGCACTTATCAGACCTGTCCCAAAAACTAGTAATCCAACCGAGTTTAAGGATCTAAGGCCCATTAGTATTCTCCCAACTCTCTCAAAGGTACTTGAAAAAATAATAGAAGAACAAATTCGTATCTAATTATCAACTCATCATATTTTACCAGAATATCAGTCAGGATTCAGACCATCTCATAACTGTGAAACTGCACTTCTTAACGTAACCGATGATATTTTAAAGGCTAGGGATGATGGTAACATTTCGGTTTTAATCTTAATAGACTTTAGTAAAGCATTCGATACCCTTAATCATTCCCTGCTGTGTGCCGTACTTCATTATATAGGATTTTTGCCTGATGCCGTAGGTCTGATAAAATGTTACTTAAGTGATCGAAGCCAACGTGTTAAAATTAATGAAATTATTTCTGATTCTATGAGGGTACGATCTGGAGTTCCTCAGGGATCTATATTAGGACCTATACTATTTACTCTCTATACAAAAAATATCGGAACAGTCTTAAAATCTTGCAAGGCTCACCTATATGCCGACGATACACAAATTTATAGCTCTTTTCATCCAAACAATATTTTACATGCCACTGACCTTATCAACCAAGATCTCAAAAACTTAGCTATGTGGGCAAAAACACATGCTCTTAGCATTAATTCGAAAAAAACGAATGTTCTTGTCTTTGGCCCTAATAAATTTTGTCCTGACTCAATTAAATTAAATTTTGAGGGTGATATAATAAAACCCGTAAACAGCGCCAAAAACCTTGGTATAGTCATGGACAATCAGCTCAAATTTAGCAGTCATATTAATATATGTATTCGTAATGCCTTCATTAACTTAAAAACAATCTACATTAATCGTCATTACCTGTCATTTAATGTTAAAAAAATTCTGTGACTCGTTGGTTCTATCAAAATTCAACTATGGAGATGTCCTTTATGGTCCCTGTATTGGGTCAGATGACAAAAGGAGAATTCAGGTCATGCAGAACTCATGTATTCGTCTAATTTGTGGAATTAGAAGATGACAACCTATATCCCATAAATTAAAAACCTTGAATTGGCTAGATATGGAAAAACGAAGGTTACTTCACGCTGCTTGTCTATTCCATAAAGTCATTAAAAACCGCTTACCTGTTTATTTATATAATAAAGTTAAATACGGTTCTGATACGCATTTCCTAAATACTCGATATAGGCACAGAATAACAGCTCCCCCTCACCGCACAGAAAAATATAAACGCTCCTTTACATACCAAATATCAAAAATATATAACGCTTTACCTAATGAATTAAAATTAAAATCTACACCCGCATTCAAAAAATCACTTAAACATACATTTTTAAACGAGTAGTAACTCATCTTTAATCATGGAAAATTCCTCTTTAAAAGTCATTAATCCTCTATCGCGTTATTTGGTAATAGTTGGTAATAGTTGGTAATATTTGGTAATATTCTAAAAAATAAATATTCCTTCATATTATTTTCGAATGTTTCTGATATTGCTAATTGAAATTGTTTTATTTGTTTTTTTTTCTTTTTTTAGTAATTAGAAATTAAGTTAATTTTAGTCATTGTTACTACTGCTTAAGATGAAAAACAGAGGCGATGATTTCATTGAAATTATCGTCACCTGATCTTCGGCCGTTTTCCTTTCTTGCTTTGTTACGATTGTTTTTTTTTTTTATAATGTTTGTAAATAGTTATGTAACTTGAAAGGAAAATAAAGACCTTTATTATTATTATTATTATTATTATTATTATTATTATTTTTTTTTTTTTTTTAT